ACGCCACACTCAAGCAAGCCGCTCGCCTCTGGCAGACGGCTCTGCCCACGACCCTCACCCACTCCGGGCGCCCTCTAGGCTCCGGGAAGGCCGCTTCGACCGCCTTTCGCAGGCTGCCCTTTGCCTGCGCTTCCTTTCCCGTCCAAACCCCTAAGCCCCGGCCCTCTTTTTTTGCACCGACACTCCTCGCCCACCCCTCCCGCTTTTCGCTACTACTGCTGCGCGGCGAGGGGAGCCCGAGCCTGCCTCTACGCTCCCCCCCCTTCCTCCTCCTCCTCCTCCTCGTGCGGCTGCGAGTCCAGAAGTGACAGCGACGACCGCCTCAACTTCCCACCCCCTTTTCACTTAAAGGGAGTAGAAGCGGCTGTCCATCATCTCGCCGGGTGCCCACCACAGTTTCTCTCTCTCTCTCTCTCCCCGGTGCAGCTGCAATTCCCCGCCGCCCGGTGGTTGCGTTGGCTGGTTGCTTGGCCGGCCGGCCGGCCTGCCTCGCCGGCAACGCTGCCCCTTAGCGAGACTCCTGCTCCGGGAGTGTCGCCAGCGGCGCTTCGCGGGGACTTTGCTGCCGCCGGCTGTCACACGCCCCCACAACCATCCTCCTGCAAAGGCTATGCCGGCAGCTGCTACTGCCGCTGCCGCCTCCTTCTCCTCCTCGCCTCACAACACAGAAAGGCGATCCCACCGTGAAGCGGTGGCGGCGGCAACACCGTCTTCCTCCTTCCCCATCAACCCCTGTGGTAGCTATCGCTGTTGTCTCCTTAAACTGCTGGTAGTGGCAAAGCAGAAGCGACCGAGGCGGAGCATGCGCGGTCCAAGGCCTTCCTGCAAACACCCGGATGTTGCTGTCTTTTCTTGTTATGGATGGGGGGGGGGGGGGCCGCCGCCCCCCCGGCGCCCCTCGAAGGGGGGGGGGGGGGGGGGGGGGTTTGGGGCGCATTGGCCTCTTGGGCGCTCGGGCTGCGGGGTTGATTAAAGCCCTTTGAATGCAGCCGCGTGCGCGCCGGGACAAAAGCGCGCCTTGGAAGGGCTGAGCGAGGCGCCTGGAGGTCGGCCTTCGGGTGGCTTCCTGGAGAGGCTTGCAAGGGGCTGCAGCCCAGCTCTCGCCTTGCCTCAAGGAAGCGCGGTGGGATGTGCGTCAGAGGAAAGAAAGAAAGAAAGAAAGAAAGAAAGAAAGAAAGAAAGAAAAGTGGGGGGAAAAGGGTCGTCGGAGGGCAATTCTTTCGTTAGGTTCCCGCCGACCCACGAGTCGGTCGTGCTGATTTCAAAGCATTCTGGTCCGCGTCCGCCCGACCCCAGGGATGCAGGCACACCACAGAGCCTGGTGATGGGGCTTGGAGGGGCATCCCTGCTGTTGTGCAAGGCGGCAATAGGGATGTCCCAGGTGAGGACGGAGCGCCAGTGCGCCCTCCGTTCAGGTAGAGGCAGTAAGAGGGAAATTCTGCTGCCGCCTTCAAAAGTTGAAGCGCTCCGCAGGTGACTTGGATGGGGGACAAATGATTAAAAGAGACGTCGTGGTTAGCTCTTTGTTTGTTTACTTCTTTGAAGTCGTCGTCGTCTTCTGAAAGAAATGAGGCAGCTGTATTGCAGGAAGCGATGGAGGGATAAAAGATGGTGCTAATGCTGGTCAAAAGCCTTTTCATTGATGGAGCAGTAAAAGCAGAGTAAGAGGCAGATTAGGACAAGCCACAGTCTTGGACAGGAATGACCTCAGCTCAAAATGCCTATAACCACCGAGTTTAGGCTTTCCAGAGGGACTTTGGATATTTTTAGATCTGAGAGGTTGGTTCCTGCTTTCCGTCAATTAAAAAAAAACTAAACAGGAGATAGGCATGATGGTTTTCTCTTCAGATTTTTGAGATGTATTTTAGAAGTGCCTTCAAGTTTCTGGTGAAATTATTAGATCAGTTTAAGGCAGCTTATATGGAAACAGTTGTATTTGAACATATTTTTTATCCCACCACATCTAAATTGGTCTTTTAAATCAAAAGCAAATGTAAAGTGTAAAATAAAATAGGAAAAATAAATTGCAATCATTAAAATTAATTCAGAAACTTATTTTAATTAAAAGAACAGTTGTATTAGTTACTTTAAGACTTTTAAAGACCACTCCCAGAAATTTAGCAGGTATTTTAAGTGATTATTAAGTCTTTAATCCTATGGAGATTTACTCCAAGGTAAGTGAATGTAATATGTTTTGAGCATAATCATAGCAGATTTAAACTTTGCAAGCCCAGCTAAAGTAAATATCAATATACATTGTTAGCTTCTCTCTCTCTCTCTCAGTTTGTTGTAGGTATCTGAGCTATTAAGTCATTTTTCATTTCCCAAGCTATAACTAAGTTAACTGTTAAACTGTTGTGTCTTATGAAACTGAATAAACCAGGCCTGTTTTACAACAAAATGGAATGGGATTAAAGGGAAAATATATAGTATTGTATCTTGACCTAAATCTGGTAGCAGCACCTAAATCAATGCTAGCTGAACTTGAAAAATAGTATTCAGAATTGAATCAAGAAAATACAGGACTGTAGATTGGATTGAGAACTTAAGTAAACATCTAGAAATAAGGCAAATTGATACCTGTATTACTGCCAAGAACAACTCATAGTCATGAGCATGTAATCACCAGGAATCAAAAGTCAGTTTGATGGAGTTAGATTTTTTCATCCTGATATTGAGGATAATTTTAGCTGTCAGAAGCATTTTCCACTGGTCCGTTTAAAAACAGTGTACATTTTTAAAAGTCTGATATAGCAAAGAAAAAGCTATAGAGAACAAATTGTTCTCCTTGCTTACATTTTTGAGCTGGGAATACACATGTATACCAAAGTGACCAAATTGATTTTGGGCCTAAGGCAAGACTAGAATTCACAGTATCCCTGTTTCTAACCTGGTGCCTTAATTACTATACCAGACTGGCTCCCAGAAATATTTTGCCCCTTCGTGTGTTGTACAGCATTAAGATTCTATTCCTACTCCTGTATGCTTAGTCTGCCATGAGAGAGATGAGTATTCAGTCTTTTGAACATCAAAGCAAAGTATGTTTGAAGTTAGATCCTATTTATGTTGATTGCTGCAAATCAGACTTAAAAAGGATTAGACTCTTACTTTTGGAGATACTGAAATTTGGAAGATACATTTTAGAATTTTAAAAACTTAAGACTTTTACATCAAAATCCAGTTTTTGATATACAACTAAGACTGGGCATATATAAATCATCAGTCTGCTGAACCACTATTCCATTCTTGAGACAATCATGCTTAAATCATAACATTAAATTAGAAAATAAAATAAAGGAAAGTTATTTGTATTTTGTTCTAAATAATTGTGCCTAATTAGACCACACTTATAAAAAATGACAAACTTTTAACATTTAGTATTGAAAAAACTACCTAATTCTGAAATTTTATTTTATTGGCATATTTATGTATTCGTTTTGCACAGTTGTAGGATTGAAGAGGCAAAAGATTCAGATTCAAAAGGGGAAAAATATGTCAGAGGATGTTGGAATGCTCATAGATCATTTGCTGACAACTTTTTAAAGCAGCTACATCTTTGCTCTGAACCATGCAGCTGTGCTCTACAGCTGCAGCACAGTCCTATGAAAAGATATTTTCTAGATGCCAACTGGACTTGCTTATATGCTCATGCTTGATCCAAACTATCTTTTCTCCTTTGAAGATGATATGCTATAAATTCTATATGTTAATAGCATTAAAGTGCTCAGTTTTGGCAAGGTAATCCCTATAATGCCTATTGTTTTGGGTTTATTATTATGCTTTAGATTTTATACATGATTATTTTTATGCTTTAAATGTACAAGATTTGGAGAACGTATTTTATCAAAATCTTAGAAATGTAAATAAATAAGCTAATAAATAGTGGTTGTCCCTACTCTCTACATAAGAGTATATAAACTACATTTTACAGTATGTAAACCTTGAGATCTGTTTATATTATTAGACATAAATGTGCTATGGATATTTGGTCATACTTCAATTATTGGAGGATGGAACAACATATTTTTGTTGATTTCCACCTATGCCATCACCAGATTATTTTTAGAGTCGAGATTTATGTACCAAGCTTATCCATAAGTGAAATATATGGTTATAGCAATAAATGAAAATAAATTTAATATGCTTCATGAAATATAAACCATTGCCATATGCTTTATTAAAAGATGTTACAACTAGGTTTTATATAATGTCTATAATCAATATGTCATGAAAATGTCAAAAGCAGTATGTTCATAACCACATTCTGAATATTATGTGCCTTGAAAAATCTAGAAGCCACTGCAGTGAAAGTGGCGTATTATTACCTATATGAAGTATTAGAGTCTATGAGTTTACACAAGAATTGTGGGCCTATTGAGGATTATGTGGAAATGGGACAGCAAAGAAGTTAGTATTGCTATGACAAGACCATCACTGACAGAGTAGAAACACTGAATGTTACTTCCTGGCACTGTGTAGAAGGCATGAATTTGAGTATGATGCACTTTAGTGTTGTCAAACAAGCTGATAAAGAATACTGTCAGACACAGATATTTTTTTCTAAGGGGATTGTAGAGAATAGAGGAAAGCAGTGGTAACTTGATTAATCAAACAGTGTCTGCAACTACAGTTGTGACAACACAAGCCATTCTACTTGTGTTCAAAGATACAATCAGTGTAGAGTCAGATTGCTACATCTATTCTGATTACCAATTGTCACCCACAACAATTTAAGGGAAGAGAGCAGGAAATAATTTCACACTTGTGGAGGTTTTGATTTCTGAAATCAAGTCTACATTGGTCTTACATTTTGTTCATGTTCCCTTGTGTATTTTAAAAGGACAGTGTTTCATTAAATCCCACATAATTCAAACAAACCTTTCATTCCTGGCATATAGGAAAGTTCTTGGAGATCATTGTTTCACTTTCTTCACTATAAAAATGGACATTGATTTGAGAGACGGGGACAGATAGGCATGGAGAGAAGAAGGTACTGTGTGCCTGTTGCCAAAATGAACCTGAAGAATAATTGGTCTGAGCATTCTAAATCTATGTTAATTTTTTTCCTATTTCCTATTTTTTCCTATTTTCCTTTTTTCATTTGTATCACTCTGAACAGTTTAGCAATAGCCATGGTATGTCTTTTACCACCCACACCTGAACATGCAGTTGTTTTATAGCAGCTGTGTTCAGAGAGCATGGGGCAGCTAATTCGGAACACAAGATTATGTTTCCTTTTTTTCTTTTCCCTAATTTATTTCTCATTTTGTGTTTTTTTTCTTCTTCAGGATTTTAGCTTGGTTTCCTTTTCACTGAATTCCCTGAGGTTTGTAATTCTAGCACTGTCTGAAGGACTAATTTATTTTTCTGCTTATCCAAATCTTCTTTTGACCATTGCAAGGACTTAATTAATTTCTTTCCTACAGTCTAAAAATGCACAGTACTGTTTCTTTTTGTTTCATCGAGTTCTAGTTGCTGCTCTGTCTTCTACCACATATCAGTGTTGGCCAGCTTAGAATTAATGAGGACAACTTCTTCCAAAGAATATCTGCTTCTTTTCCTTTTAACCAGTAAAAGAAAATAGTTTTTCCTGTCTCCATCTAGATATAATTTCATATTTTGTTTAACATATACTACCACTTTATCCTCACCACAAATTTTCTATAAACGCACTGTTTAGAAATAAATAGCAATTGTCTTAACAGGTTATTCAAATTAATGTGTTCTGCATATTGATACCTAGGCATATGAAGTCTAATTGAACTCAAAGATGGTTGGTTTTTTTTTGAGTAGGTAGGAGTAATGCATATATGTAATAAAATGGTACCTGTTTGCTAGAATGAAAGGATACACATGTAAAATAATTGAATTACATTGAACTAAAATAAATTAAATCGTGTTTTAATAAATGTAACAAAGAGAAAAAAGACCTGGATTTATAAAGTGGCCATAAGTAGAAACTTTACATTCTATATTCCCTGAGTTTTTCTGGGCAACAAGATAAAAGTACTTTGCTTTTGCTGTTATCTTCTGTGGGATTTTTCAAAATTCTAACACTGTTTTAACTTTTTGTGATCAACCAGATTAGCTGATTTCAAAATTAGATGATTATTGGTTTTAGAGACGAATCAATTAATGCCAGAGTAATATCACACCCTTCCAATCTAGACCATGCCTAATTGAATTGTGGATAGAATTCCGGGAGTTGAAGTCTGCATATCTTCCAATAGCCAAGTTTGAGAGCACTGGCATAAACATAACTGGATGAGCAGATCTATCCTAAAGGTAGTCAATATATATAGAGAAGTGGAGAAGAAAACTTTTAATAAAACACTTGGTTTTTAATAATGAAGTCACAGGTTCAATCACTAGCATTTCTAATAAAAGCAATCTGAAATATTAAAAAATATTTTATATTGCAAATCCTTCAAACTAAATTATGACAGGATTCAGATATTAAAATACCAGTTGATTTGCTTGGTTTTGTCTTGGCATGTTGCACATATTGCTATGTGTGAAACAGCATTCAAAATAGTAATACTGCTCTGGAACTTCACTGAAATTTATAGCTGTGTCTGTTTCAATGGGAAAACTGCTGTTTGATAAAATTATTTTAAATTTTTAAGTATGTATGTATGTATGTATGTATGTATGTATGTATGTGTAATGTGCAAACACAAATGTTTATTTTAAAGATAAGGTTTATCCCAACAACATACAAAGCAGTAGTAAAAGAAGAAGCCAAATGGTATAGAATGATTATTTTCCCTGCTAAGCCCCTATTGCACATTATAATACATCTGTAATTGTCAGAGGAGATTCCATATTGACAAGATTGATGTCAGAGTATTTCATTACTACATTTAGAGTAAGAGCAAGTAAATAAACATAAAAATATGCCAACTATATTATATTTTCAGTCACCCAGGATAAAAATCTCCTATTTTTGATTGTTGAAGTATACGCCTACTAGTTTTGCAAACACTTCAAGAATGCATAGATCCATGTACTGATCAGCTGCATTCAGAAAACCTTACTGCAGCTGGTTGTTTATTATCATGTCTCCCATTTCTTTCGAAGTGATATGGTCAGGATTCAGTATGTGGAGGATCCTCTATTAAAGTAAATAGAAAAGCTTGGTTGAATAAGGGTTGAAGTGTGGACTTCAGAAACGGTGAAGGGGAAACAATAGTTATATACACAATTATGTGCATAAAAGAAGCTTTTGGATGTGGTAAGATGTAGCTCATGTATTTATCTTAGTGTTGCTGATATACACCTGTGAAGGAGGTAATGGTTGCTATTTTATGTTTATATATTGTATTTGTTAATTGTTATATGATGAGATCTATTTGTTTGTTTATTTTTGTATGCCGTTTGCTGCTCAGAGTTACATTTAGTTGAATTGGGCAGCCAGATCTTAAAAACAAACAAGCAAAGCGTAGCCTATGTAATACAGGTCCTTGACTTACAATCATCTGTCTAATGACTGTTTGAAATTACAATGGCACTGAAAAAAGTGACTTACAATTGTTTTTCACTCGACTGATACAGCATCCCTAGAGTCATGTGATCAGAATTTGGATGCTTTGGCAACTAGCATATATTTATCATGGTTGCAGTGAGTCCTGAGGTAATTGAAAACCTTTTCTGACTTTCTGACCAGCAAAGCCATGGGGAAGCCAAATTCACTTAACAACGATGTTACTAACTTAACAACCGCAGTGATTCACTACATAACTGGCAGGAAGGATCATAAAATGGAAAACTCAGCAATAAGCTGACTTTGTATAAATATACAAAAGTATGAAGGCTATTGCTTAACGCATTGTAAGCCGCCCTGAGTCTCCGGAGAAGGGCGGCATATAAATCAAATTAAAAAAAAAAAAAAACAACTCTCTTGCTTATCAGTGGAAATTTTGGGCTCAATTGTGGTCGTATGTAGAGGACTACTTGTACTATTGCTTCAAAATCAATTTCTTTATTCATTCAGTTTCTGTAGCTTCCCAATTCAACCAGGGGACTTTCCTTTTGAATAGTTCTGCCATAAGGGATCTTATTTTTTCTTACAGGATTAGCAAGATTAGAAGAGTCTTTCCACTGTGAGCAAGAGGTCAGATCACATATTCTCCAGCCAAAGGAAGCAAACTGCAGAGGATGAAATTTTCTCAGAATTGCTATTGCATTCTTCAAGTTCAGGTATATTGATATGACACAAATAAGCAATACTAATCTTTCTCCAGATGTAGAATAGTCATACAAATTTACAATTTTCACACCAGTCTTTTAATTTACAAAAAAAGCTGGGAGAGGTCTTAGCTCCGAAACATGTTTTGAACATCAATACTCAAACAGCCTTGTGGAGGAATAGATAGATCATATTTGAAAGATATTAGTCTTTCCCTTTTTATGATTAAGAATGCTAGGTATTAACTTTTTAATACTTTGGCTGATCTTCTCTGGTCATATTTGAGAGTGAGCGAGTGCTATGCTCTGCAAACTCCATAGGTCAACATTTACAACTAGCTTTTTGAATTCCTTGTTTGAATGCTTAAACTACCATCCACTTGAATACATTCCATTTTAAGAAAACATGTTATGTGACAAATGTTATTTTTATTGTATTTGAACTGGATATTTTATGAAATCAGACTAGAGTACATGTTGTCATCTGAAAATGTTTAGTTCTCCAGATGGACTTTAGGTTTCCATCTAACATAATCAGTGATCATGAATGATGGGAGATGTAATCAAGCAATATCTGCAGACAAATGGTTCCCCATACTCCTAAAGCCGAAATAGAGATACAGGTAGTCCTCAGTTTACCAGCAATTCCAGTTGAGCCTGGAATTTTGGTCATAAGTCATTGCAGTCATAAGTTGAGTCACTACATGACCAGACTCAATGTTCTGATTGTTTTTACAATTATTGTTAAGCAAATCAAGCGGTCGGAGGACTGAATCCAACTTCTCCAATGTGTGTCTTTTGCTGGAAAATGGCAAGAAAGTCACAAAACACAATCACATGACTGCAGGATGCTGTAACTGGTCATAAATGTAAACCAGTTGCTAAGCACTTGAAATGCAATTACTTTTCTGTGGGGATAATATGGCAGTTGTAACTTCAAGAATGGGTTGTAAGTAACTTTCTCAAGTTCATCATAATTTTTACTGGTTGTTACATGATCAGTTGTAAGTCAAAGACTACCTTTAGATTTTTTTTTTATTTGAGTTGAAATTGTACATACTGGTACAAACAAGTCATAAATACATTACCTGAGAGATAAATACTATCCCAGAGTTTAATAAATCAATAAAGCTCAGTTCTATCACTTTAACTACACAATTAAAACTAAGATCTAGTTCAACAAACATTCTTTCTGCTCTTAAGTATGTTGACATATGCATTAGGTAGCAAGAATGTCTTCCTTATTTCATTTTCCTGCAAACTGAATGTAAGTTACCTATGATATTTTTGCTTTTTTATTCTCTTCTGTTCTACCAAAAGCTTTAAACATGATGACAATTTTTCAAATAGTCTATCTCTGATAACAAACATATTGATATAGCTTTGAGAATACCATACAAAATAATCACTAAAATGTTCTAATGCGGAGAACAAAACAGCAGCCGATTATATACAATCAGATGACTGTTTTAATTTAACAGTAAACCTGGTTTACATGGCAAAGAACCAGACAGCTGATCAAACAATAATACAACATGACCATAGTCAATAAATGTAATGTATTCACAACTAAGAAACTGTACTAGATCATGTCTACAAAATGGTGACTAATAATAAATAATCTATTCTGATTTATTCAGTCTTTCTTATTAATTCTTTCTGGTGATGACAACTACCATACTGAGTGAATGAAGCAGTGCTTATCTCTTCAGCTGGTAGGAAATAGGAATGATGTCACTGTTTGTGTATGCTGGTGAGTACTGCAATATAAAACTTACTAAATAGAAATATCATTTGCAGAATGTCTGACATTTTAGATCTTATTACTATTACATTATGATTCTAGAAGACAGTTAACATTTACGCAGTGTTCTTGCTTGAGCTTCTATATAAATCTGTTGAAAGTAACATCAGTTAAAAAAAAATAGGAAACCCAAAAGGAACATGATTTTAGTGCTAAATTATTTTTTCATGTAAGAGCAAGGATCATTTTGGTCAAACCCTATCTGCTGCATATTCCTATCATCTTTAAAGATGTAAATTTCATATGTGGTCTAGATAACTCATTTTTAAAATGATTCTTTTCTTTTAAACAGGGAAGACAATCCTTCCGAAGACATATGGCTGCCTCATTTTACTTGAGATTTGATTGGATGTATGCATCATTGAAAGAGTTTGGAAACTCTGCACAAATGTTCCTAGGAGATAATGATTTTATGATTGAGAATCTTATGTTATAATAGGGTTTATAAATGAGGTGAAGAAAATTTCCTGGGGCTGTTGGATTTAGCTTCATGTTTTTCCTGGTAGATATTTATAATAGTGCAGGCCTGTACAGCTTCTAGAGGGACTAAATTAAAAATCATTGCCAACCAACCAACCGATCAGTTGTTTGGCTACAGGTAGTCCTCAATTTACAACAGTTCATTTAGTGACAATTCAAAGTTACAAAGTTACTGAAAAAGTGACTTATGATTGCTTAATGACTTATGATTGTTTTTCACACAATCATTGCAGCATCTGCATAGTCATATGATCAAAATTCAGACACTTGGCTTATGACAGTTGCAGTGTCCTGGGGTTATGCTATCCCTTTTTGTGACCTTCTGACAAAGTCAATGGAGAAACTAAATTTGCTTAACAACCATATAACTAATTTCACAACTGCAGTGAGTCACTTAACAACTGTGGCAAGAAAGGTCATAAAATGGGACAAAACTCACTTAACAAATGTCTCGCTTAGCAACAAAAATTTGGGTTCAATTGTGTTGTAAATTGAGGACTGTCTGTATTGGATATATGGAAGTATTATGGTTTGCAGTAGTGAGTCCTGGAGGTGCTCAGCAATGTGTCTTTTAGGGCAGCAGTAGAGGTCAATTTATTACTTTTAAAAAACGCCAGCTGGCTGCACAAAGCTGCTTAGTGGACCAGGGGTTGTGCAGGCCTGGTTCTATGTTGTGTAGTTAATGAAATGATAGCTCAAATGTCATATTTGCATCTCATTTGAAAAAGCTATGAAGAAAATATCTTTCAGAGGGGACATAAAAGAAGGTTGGTTCAAGAGATAGGATTAGAAACAAAACTATAGAGGTCACAGGTTACATTCATTAACTTTGATATATTAACAAAACATTTGTCGTCTAAATGATTGGTATCTGAGAGTACTTCAAAAGTAAAGTATAAATTGGCAATGGATAGAAAATTCAAGCAAAAACAACAACAACACTAATACTTTGTACAAGTAGCAATTAATTTACTAGGCAGAGAAATTATGCTGTTTTTAAAAAATCAGATTTCATTCAATTTGATAAAAAATTGCAAAAAGAATTCTTTAAATATGACATTATTGTATTTATTTAGTTAAGAGATTACTAAGGGATGCCTGGGAAAGTCCTGTCTTTCATCATACAATAATCTTTTCATATCTATCTGTCTATCTGTCTGTCAATCTTTATCTGCCTGCCTGCCTGCCTGCCTACCTAACTACCTAAAGGTGGTGAACATAACTAATACTCCTGCCTCCTATGTTTTGCAAAACAACCACCCTGTGGATGGGAATGATTGTCCCATCCAGCTGTCTTTTATGCCTAAGGCAGGCCTGCAATTCATAGTCTCCAGCTTTCTAGGCCAGACTTTATCTCTACACCAAATTGGCTCTCATATCTCTCAAGCTAGAACATAGTTTCCCAAATGGAGGTGTACATCCATTGAGGAATAAACAGACCAAATTCAGGCAAGGTGTGAACCTTACACATTGTTGCAATAACTCCGCCTTTCTCAAAAATTTCATTGTATTGTTTTAATTATTCATTTGTGTTCATTTTGTTGTTTGGATTTGAACAGGAGATTTGCACATCAAGATTACACTAAAGGGAAGTATGATGGCAAAACATTTACAAAACACTTCAAGAATTGTTCCTTTGGTTTCAAAGTGAAAAGTACAGTATATTTGGGAGCACATACAGTACGTTATAATGTTATAATTCTTTAAGCCAAATGTCTGTTGCACTGTACAGTGCACTGAATTGCACTGTAACTGTGGAGAACAGCCACCTGATCCTGGGAAAAGAAGCTGCTGCTTTAAGGAGTTGCCAGTAATGCTACATGAGGATTCAACATACTTTACAGAAGTCAAAGTAGTTTTTTTCAACAAAATATTTAAAATGAAGTGGAATTGGTCCACTTAAACATATTTTGTGAAGACTTACTATGTTAAAGCATGTATATTTAAAGCAAATTTAATGTGCATATTTCAATTAAAAAATGTAAAAGCAGTACCACTTGAATGAAACTGATGCAACCTTATGTCTGACAGTGTACAATTTTTGAATAGAAAATAGAAGCTTCTATTTGTTCTGCTCATTTGCTAACTCCAAAACCTTTTATTACTCATAATGCAACTTTTTTCCCAAGTTCATAATTTTTCCCTTCTACATTATTGTTGCATGATTTTTGATCGCTCTCTATTCCTGCTGATCAGGATATATCCTAAAGTATAGTGCCACATGGAAATACCTAGTTGGAAGCAAAGAAGATAACCTTAATACTTTAATTTCTGTATCTTTTACTGATTTAGATAGTTGTTTTATAATAATGCCTGTTAAGATAACAATGTTCTCTATAAAGTATTAAAAGTACTTACATGTTGTTCCTGACTAATGGCCAGTTATTTAAAGTTATGACGGCCTTGGAAAGGATGCTTTATGGTCCATAAACATTTCTGGTCATCGTAAAATCAGATAATTAAACATGGTTAAATGAAGTTTGTCCATGGCTGCCACAACATTTCATTCATAGTTAATATCTAGTGAGCCTAGACTTTCTAGTGTGAAATGTAAAACTTCTCTTATTATTCATTTTGCAGCTATTGTTTTTATCATCCTATCCTCCCTTAAATTTTCTGTGTTCAAACTTTCTGAACAACTTTGCAAAAAGATCTGTTATATTTTTAATTTCACATTAGCTGAGATGGATGCCAAAAAGCTCAACCACCCACCTTTGGTCAACAAATATTACTGCAAACAAGCATGAATTGGAAGTGCAGAACAAACGAAGAAATGTTTTTGACAGGCTTCCCTGGTAGTGTAGGAGGATATTCTGCAAGTCTAAAAATACCTTCAGCAGTTTTCATAGACAATTTGAAATATCTCCCTCACTACAGAAGATGGTTCCAGAGCTCACATGCTAGATCTGACAGATGGCTTATAAGAATCTTTTCTTGTACTTCAGTTGCAGAAAAGGGGAAAAATCAATAACTAGTTAATTCTTAGATTTGCATAAGGCCATTGAAGCGCTATTGCCAACCAAGTCAATGTGTCTTCCTTCTTAAATAAAGTTCATGTTTTTTTGCCTTTGTTTAAATGGGCTGGTTATGACGTTTCCCTTTACTTGTCCTCCTTCCCATTGTGCTTTTAAAATTCTCCATTTGATTAAAAAATAATACCTGGCAAGATCTAACAAATTAGGAAGTTTAATTGTACAAAAGGTGGATTGATTCATCCACGGCAAAGAAAAAAACTACTTGTAACAGATATGGAAAGTTTAATTTATGAGTTGTTCTGAGTAGTTCACCCCTCCTAAGTACCATCTAACCTAAGTGTGGGAATCTATAAAGGTCTAAATTGATATCCCAAAGGCTTCCTCCTCTTTTTGTGGATCCCTTTTTAATTATTACTTTGTGATCACTTAGGCAGGTTCAGAAACTGAATTGGCACAAATTTAAGAGAATATGTCCGATATTAATGACCACCAAATCTAGACTCAGCATGAAAAACCCAATTGAAATTTTATTGATTTCAAATATGTGTATTTAGGACTTAAGGCTGAATTAGCTAGTGAGGAACTGCGTGTATAATAGTCTATTCCCTAGAAATAATAGGCTATCTGATGAATTCCTTTGAAAAGTCCTTGTTTTACATTCCTCCCTGTGCCAGATCAGAAACTAATTTCTTTTCAATTTTCTTTTAATAGTATTTGGAAATAAGGACAAGTTTCTTTCTTCCCTGTAAAATGGATTGGATTTCTATTTCCTTATGAAGTTAATTACAGAGCAACTCTTCCTCCACCCCAATGGGCAATATGCTTGCAGTATTCCAAGTTCTGTTTCTCTTCATCATGTTTTTTAAATCTGCATCTTTGCTTAGGGCAATCTAATTGTATTTGGGCTTGACTGCTCTAAAGATTGTGGAATATACTTTCCAATTAGTTTGAGGCCTCATCGGAAAAATACACAAAACTGTTGCTAAATGAAGACTACAGCTCCTTATCGGGAAAGAGAGGAAAATAACACATGTCACCATAATATTAATTCTCTCCATGGCCTAGTGATTGGTGACAGTGTTCCTAAACTGAGGCAGAAAGCCAGATGAGAGACAGTCTCTAAAATTAGTTATGAAAATCTTATTAATTTGATCGGATTACTGGGGAAAAAGTGAACCATTGGAATAAAGGTATGGCTTCTCTTTTCATATTTTTCAATTCCTCAGGCCTTCAGACCTCAATAGTAATTATATTACATCTCCAAATCTCTCTCCCTTTCCCTCTCACTCCCTCCACCCCGTGTGTGTTTGTGTGTATTTTAAAGACACAAATCATTTTAAATAAATGAAGTGATGCAGGGAAACGAACATAGCCTGTAGGGTTCAGAATTGAGGGGTTTTTTTTGCCTGCCTCTTTATCAGGTATGAGTGATTATATGTATTTCAGAGGATGAGCTATTTCCTCAAAAATGTTCCTTGCTTCAGGAAAAGTACTTGTTTCTTCCTTCAGGGCCAAATCATGACAGGGGTCATAGTGCTATGCTGAATAGGCCATGGCCAGGTCCAAGCCTACAACCATTTATTTTTATCCTCAGATTGTTTTCTGACATGCATCAGGAAGGGCAATATATAATCTCTCACCTACCTTTTTTAATAATGAAATTTAGATCACACGTATTTTGGAATTCTTAGAGTCAGTCTGCTCAGCTGTAAATTCACAGGATGACTCAAGTTATTTTCTTTTTAAACATAGCCTATTTAAAGGAAGGTTTTGAAGATAACTGAAAGACTCTTTGTATATTAGCATAGCTGTAAACCTTTTACAAGAAAAAGAATAGTATAGCTGAAAGAGCTGATCCATGAAATAGATGCAATATTTTTTCTGAAGTTCTACTATATGTTAATGAGTACACGTTAACCTTATTAATGTAGTGGAAGCAATATAACATTAAAACAAATACAAATTTACAAAATAAACACTGAAAACTAACATTAAAAAATCTTTAAAATTTAATTTTTGGCTGGGAATTGCCCAGAGTTTGGTCTAAGATGGGTGGCTATATATACATAATAAATAAGATGGAAAGGAAAGGAGTCCCTGTGAATTTTACCCTGCTAGTCGTTGCCAACTATAGGGTGCAGCGCTCATCTCATTTTTAAGGCCATTATGTCATGGAGCGCTGTTTCCAGCATGATGTCACAGAGTGTTGTTTCCTCCCCACCAAAGTGATACTTGTTTATCTAATCGTGTCTGCATACTTTCGAACTGCTACTGTGTTTCCCCCAAAATAAGACCCTGTCTTATATTTTTTTGAACCCTGAAATAAGCGCTTGGACTTATAGCCATGCACTCAAAAGCCCAACTGGGCTTATTATCAGGGGATGTCTTATTTTGGGGGAAACAGGATAGGTGGGCAGGAGCTAGGCAAAGATAGGCCCTCACCCTGTTGCGTGATGCTTGAGTCTTGAATCTGGATCTAGACTGGATCTCAAATCTTGAAAGTGTCTTAACCACTGAGCCGCCTCCCAATAAATATGATAGTGCTATTTTATTAAAAATTAAAATGAATGCATGAACCAAGCCTTCACACCATACCAGGAAACCTCTTCACTAGTTAACTCATAGATCAAACAAAATGTTTCTGAATAAATATGCTAAGGATCTTGTTGAAAAGTGAAAATGTACCACCCATCTTTAACACAAAAGTAAACATTCTAGAAAATATACTACATACGTTTTTAAGACCTAGCCATTTAAAAAGGAAGGAGATAATGGACACCTACTGTATTCCTAACTGACAGCTGTTTGCGTATTCAGAAACTCTATCTCTTTTCCCATGTGTGGACAAAATCCAGCTCAATTCCTTGCAATAAAAAGACAATGATTTATATTAGTGTATTATGTTGGAAGCAGCACACCCTGTCTGCAAACTTTAACTATATGCAGTTGCCATTTCCCATAAAATAAGAGCACGTAAGCATTGCTGCAAGATTAAATTCAGAATGAGTTATTATTCACTGGCAGTCTGACTTGTGGCATGTTTACCAAGAGGTATGTTCCAATGAATATAGTGAGATTTCTTCCCATGTAACTACATGAAATTACAGATTAAATAAGAGGAAAAATTCATTCGTAATTCAACAGTTATTGTTAAATTACAGATACCAGCATGTACCACATTTAAAAAAACAAATTATATATTTATTATTTATTTATTTATTTATTTGATCAAATTTGTATACCACCCTACTCCCGAAGGACTCAGGGCGGTGAACAGGCACAAAATAAAACACATAGATACAAAAGTTAAGAGCAAAATTAAAACCAAATTAAATATTTAAGCCCAAGACAATTTAAAACATCCCAAAAATTTAGAACAGATTTAAAATTTCAATTTAAATTTAAAAATTAAAAATTAAAAGGGGGGAAAGATCAGGCCAGGCCGGCTTGCTGAAATAGAAAGGTCTTTAGAGCGCGGCGGAAAGTGCGCAGGTCCGGGATCCTACGTATCTCCGGGGGGAGCTCATTCCAGATAGTAGGTGCCCCCACAGAGAAGGCCCTCCCCCTGGGGGCCGCCAGTCGACACTGTTTGGCCGACGACACCCGGAGAAGCCCCTCTCTATGGGAGCGTGTTGCATATACTTTTTTGGAGTTAAAAGTTACTAACATGCTATTATGAATTATTTCTCAGATGTTCGCCTCTTGCTGTAATTAATATAGGACAATTAAACATGAAAGAATTACTAAGTTTATGAAACTAAAATCAGTCAATTGAGAAATCTTTGCTTTACCAATTGAGAAAGCTATATCCATTTGATCTCTGCCTTGCTCCTAATCCTTTTCAGGTCCTATGGCCATGATTGTTTTAAAAATGCTCTTTAAATGCAAAAGCACATTTAATGCCCCATTTAATGTGGTTCTTAGTTTTGTTTAAAGGTTACATACTATGGCTTTCTGTTAAGGGATTCTGACTGACTGTGAATAAATAAATAAATAAATAGTGAATGAATAAATATTAGTGAATTCTGCAGTTGATATGTTTGCTATGGTAGTTTGATTGATACCTTGAGTTATTATGTGAGAGTTGTTTTTTAATAAATGCATAGCTATCGTGAGAGTCAATTTGGGGTAGTGGCTTAGATGCTGGACTAATATCCAAAAGCTTATGAGTCTTGAAAGCCAGGAAGGTGATTTTGGGCCATTCACTTTTTCTATCTACCTAACTCAACTGCAGAGAGTTGTGGGGAAAATTAGAAGTGGGAACATTAGATACGTGTGCCACCTTGAGTTAACCAAAAAAAGTCAGGAGAAAAATCCAATAAATAAATGCTTGTAAATTCCAATCTTAGACATCTCTGCAGAATACAAGTTCTCCTGCTTATATTTAGTATGATTTACTTCTGAACGGGTATCTATAGTTTTCTATTTACTAAATTTTGAAACAATGCTTCAGGTCATATCCTAAGAAAAAGGAAGAATGAGAAGAAAGGAAACTGCTGCTGCTGTTTGCTAGAAAAAAATATTCAGTGTGCACAGTTGATATGTTTTCCCCATTTATATAACTTTTTAACTTTAATGAAACAAACAAAATGTTAAAAAGTTACGATATGTATGTAGTTACTTACCAAGCATATCTAAATTATATTAAAGTAACCAAAATATCTTTACAATCCCCAAGGCATGTCACAACGTTTGAGCACCCCTAATGTTTGGAAATTGAAAGTTGAAAAATTTGACAACCTAGCAGATTGAGGAGACTATCACAGAAAATCCTGTTTAGGTAAAATTTATTTTTATTGGGGTTCCCCCCCTCACTTATGTTGGTAAAAGAACATCATGATGTTCATTTAAATCTGTGTTTGCATTGACAATGTTATTAGAAATTTGCAAACATTAAGGACCCTTGAAAGCATTTCATTTTACATTTGTTTATTTGCTAAAGTTTGTTCTCTAAAAGCATAACTTTGAAACAGTTGTTTTAATACAATTAAGGATTTGCAAGCTTGTTTATTTTTACACAGTCATATAATGTGTGAAATGCTTTGGGAAAGGAAAGCCCACTTCTGTTTTACTAACCATCCATTCAAT